GTGCTGTTATTACTATCAGTGTTAAAAGGAGGTTTGACTTTATTATTATTAATAATAATAACTTAAAGGAGGTAAGGCTGGATAATTTCTAGTTTTAAAAATGACTTTCCTCATCTTTTAAGCATAGCTCAGACCGCCCCCCCCTAATGTTGCAGGTCAAGACAGAGCTGTGTGGGAACCTTGCACAAAATCTGCCTGTATAACCAGCTCTCCTCAGTCCTTTTTAATCCTTCCTTTTCTTGAGAGCCAAGCACATGCAGTTAATGTGAGCTTCAGTCTTATCTGAAGTAAGTATTGTAGTGTTTTTCTGGAAGAATTGCTCTAACAACTTAAAAGGCTGCTGCTATTGCTTGAACTTTTAAATAGGTGTATCACTACTGTTTGGGCAACTGGTATGAGCTACGGAACATCAGGCCAAAGGGGAAAAGAGAAAAGATTCTAAATCTACTCTGTTTTTAATCCCTAAAGGTCTGGTATACTGTAATAGTTGGAACCAGATTATTTCACAGTTAATCATAATTGCTTTATTTGCAGAGCTCTTCCTGGGGTTTAAAGCCCGTTCTCTGCAATATGTTTGTATCCTCTCTTAAGAAAACGAGTGAAAATGGAAATTCAGATGCTCACTGGTTTACAAGGAGTGCGAGGCCTTTAGGAGTCTTTGGCTCTTGTTTTTATGCTCTGCATGCTCTGATGTTTTGCCTTTTATTTACCACACTTTATTCCCTGTATGACAGTGGTGGCAGTAGCAATTGGAAGTTATGCTGCTCATCAGTCAGCTCTGGGCCAGTGCTCTCTGCAAAGCAAAATTAGTTCCATTTCCATTTCTAGCCCAGAGACTGTAGCACAGATGTACCATCAGGAATGTTGCAAATGGAATTCATTTGCAAAAGCCAATAGAGTCGGACATTAAATTGGCATCTTCCCTTCTGATACAGTTCCTCTGTGTCTGGTAAAAGTGCTGACATGGCAGTTTGGGGATGACTCAGGCTCTGTGACTCCCTCTCAGGACACGAGGGAGCCGTTCATAGGGAAAGTAATTATTTCAGACACATGCAGGGAAAAATAAATCTCTTTACTACAAAGACTCCCATTGCAGGGAAGGGAAAATTGGAAGCTGTCATCACTGGTCTGATTTTTGATAGTTTGTCCTGGTTTTTTTTTCAGTTTCAGAAGTTGCTGAAACGCAGTAATCTTCATAACCAATCTGGCCTAATGTCTCTATCTTAGCTGTTACGGGTCATACTTAATGAGGTGTGAGGGGATGTTGTGCAAATAGAGATCTTGCTGGAGAAATAAAAGCTGATTGTTTTGCGTTGCTGTTGAAAACCACACGGATGCATTTTCCTTCCAGGAACGATGGGACGGAATTTGGCGGCTCCATTTACCAGAAGGTGAATGATAAACTGGAAACAGCCGTGAATCTGGCCTGGACAGCCGGGAATAGCAACACTCGCTTCGGAATAGCCGCCAAGTATCAGATTGACCCAGATGCCTCTTTTTCTGTGAGTCCTGTGCATGCACATTTAGAAGCATTTGGAAGTAAGTGAAGCAACTTTTCCATCAGCAGAGCACGCTCTGGCTGCAGTCCTGTGCTGTGGAGTTGGCACGTGGATCTGTTTGCCTTGGCTTTGGCAGCCTGAGAGCACAGCGATTGGATTTTCCTTAAAGGCACACAGAATGTTTGATCCTGTTATTGGGCACTATTTTGAGAATGTTTTCATGTCAGTCTTGAAAAAATTAAAAGCTATGTCAATAAAACCAGTGTTTTCTACAGTGGCTGTAGATACTTTGAGATTGGGGGCTTAAGTTATGGCAAAATTATCTCTAGATTTTAAGGGATTTAAAACTTGAAATCCTCTACCTGCTTAATAGCTGTTGCTTAATTTTCAAGTGTGAAGGACTTTGAAGAAAGCTACTAAATTATTTACTGAATTTATTACTTATTACTAAATAATGCTGTATTTTTTTTTCCCTTGAAGGCTAAAGTGAACAACTCCAGTCTGATTGGGTTAGGATACACTCAGACTTTAAAGCCAGGTAGGTCTAGGCAGAAAAAAAATCAGAATCAATAAAGTGATATTTTAGTCTTTGAAATACCAGAAGTTTTTTTGATGACAAAATGTGATGGGTTTTGTAAGATTGCTGTTGTGCTTGGCAAGCCAGGGATGAACCTTTCTAGGGACTGCTCTGTTAATTTTGGATGCCTGTTGGAAGCAGAATTATTAGAGACCATGGTCCACTGCCCAGTCAGGTACTCTTTTATGTTGATACAAAATATAATTAGTTGTGTCATAGATAAGTAAACACATTTTTAATACTTTCAGAGGCTTCTTATTACTGAGTTTATTTTGCCTGAAAATGTGACTTTCTCAAGGTCCCCTGGCCCAGGAAGAGGACAATCTTACTGCTGTGAAATTGGTTTTAATGTAGTCTAATAAATCTGCTGCCAGAATACTGAGCAGATTGACATGAGATATTACAGCAGACAGGGCTTGGGCTTTTTCCTACCTAGATTTTAAAGTGGTTTAGAAAGGTGGATATGTATCAAGGTCCCAATTTTTCATAATACTAGACTCTCAAATTAGATTAATCAGTAGACCTGCAGCAGCGAATTGACTCAGAGCTTTAATTACCCAGAGTGATAAAAAGCAGAATCCATCATCATGGTTTATTATAAATTTCATAACTCAGAAAGATTTCTTATCTGCAAGTTGCTGTAAAATGCCCAGCCCTTACAAGGCCAGCTGCCAAATGCCATTAACCTGGCTACCCAATAAATCAAAGCAGTAGCACAGACACTGAACCTAAAGCTCAGTCCAAGTTTTAAGTTGACTTTTCTCTCACTTTTCTCTGTTCTGCAGGTATCAAACTGACATTGTCAGCTTTGTTGGATGGCAAGAACGTCAACGCAGGTGGTCACAAACTTGGTCTAGGACTGGAATTCGAAGCATAAGGAGTGATTTCACAATTGCTAATCTGAAAATACAGCATAGCTACCTTCAGAATATAGTGTACCTTTCAATGTTTTGTCTGGGGTGCGAGTATTGCTACGTATCAGTCCTGCTAGTCCTGGTTAAAGACAGCTAAGCTTTAAAAATGATGTTGTTAAAGAAGTGGAGACAAAACCGTAAAAAAAAAAATCCTAATTCCAGGTTTTTTTTCTTTATGTAATTGCTCATCACATGTGTCAGCTGCCACGTGATAGGAAGGAGGAAGGCGTTGATTACCTCTACTAACATACTGATGGCACAAGGAATGTGTTAATGTGGTGTAAACCCTGAGGATTTCCATGCAGACCACTCCGTTGTACTGTTAATTCCGTGAGCAAAACCTTCCGACACTTGAGGTTTCAACTGACGGGGGAATGTGCAAACTTGTCTGAAAAAGGGATTTTAAGATTTTATTTTTTTTTTTTTTTAGCTCTGTATCCCATCAATGGTTTGTCTTATTTGGTTGCCTCCCCCCCCCTCCAGCTGTCTCCAGAATGCTTTAGGTTGTCCGCCTCGTCCAAGTCCCGTCACGGAGGAGGTTTGATGTGACTCAGCCAACGCTGCCTGTCCTGTGTTGTGGTTCCTTCCCCTTGCACTGACCGGAAAGCTTGTAAAAAACAGACAGAATCAGGGAAGAGTCTTTGCGACTGCAATCACACAGTTGCATCACTTAAATCTAAAATGGGAAGTTTTGTTTTATTACCACTTTTTTTTAGCAACTAAATGGGTACATTTTTAGAGAGTCTTCCATTTTGTGTGGAACTAGACCCCAAAATGCTGTACTTGACACTACTAAAAATGGATAAAAAACCCAAACTCGACTTGAATAAAATATTAAAATGTCACCTTTTACTTTGTCTTTATATTAATTGTGAAAACAGTTTCATCTAAATCTGTGGTCCAGAGGCAGACTGACAATGTCTTGGTGCATATTTTGTACCACATGAAACAAAAATACTTACTAGATTTAAGTTCCAGACATGGCTGAGCTCTGGCAACTGCACATATGCATGTGTTTAGCTCATGGATAAAACAAGATAACATCACTTGTCATCCACTGCAGAATCCAGTAAGCTGAATTACCTTTCTATAAACAAGTAAGTGTGAACAATGGACAGTTATGAGTTGGGATCAACTTCAGTGGCTTTTCAGTAATATTTTGTATTTTTTCGTGGGTAAGCCGTTGCTGTGGGTGGCTGCAGATGGCAAGAGCTGCAGTACAGGAGGATGTGCCTGGTGAGGCAATGGCATTGCAACAATGTGAGGCTGCAGAGCCACAAACTGGGCAACACTGGCTGTCTTCCCTCTTACCACGAGCTATTCCTGAGTGTTTCCTATCTCACATTCTTTTCCCAGCACTCCTGGGAGAAGTGGTCCTCTTCCAGACTTCACCCATCAGAATGAACCACATGCAAAGAGCTCAGTGACATGGCAAATGCTCAATATTTATTTACATTCCCGTGTGCTGTGCACGTCCCCTGTTCTCTTGGTGTCCCCGTAAGCCTTTGGGCTCCTTGCTCTTGATTTTCTCATGCTTGAGGCATCTGCTTTGGTATTTTTTTCTCCTGTGACCAGCTTCAAGCCTTCTCTCAGGGCATGGAATACCCGACCAGGGGTGAGAACAGGAAAGCTTGATTTTCTATAGATCTATCCAATGTTGCAAAAAGCGTTCCATGAGCGCCACAGCTCCATGGGGTCACCATCCCCTGGAGGTGTTTGAGATGTGGCGTTGGGTGATGTGGTTCAGTGGTGTAGGGGTGACAGTGGCGGTGCCGGGTGGACGGTTGGACTGGACGACCTCAGGAGTGTCTCCCACCCTCGGTGACCCCTCGATCCCAGGGCTCTGTGACCATTCCACACCCCCACCATTCCATAACCCCTGGGCTCTATGATCCCACCATTCCTTAACCCCGCCGGTCCGTGACTCCCACCCCTCACACCCCGCCCTCCTCGCTTCCCCCCGTGCGCATGCGCGGCCACCTCCCCGTGGGCGGTGCCTCCGCCACGTCCGCGGAGCGGCCCAAGATGGCGGCGGGCGGCGGCGAGCGGCGGGAGCGGGCGGGCTGTGCCCTCGGCCTGGCGCTGCTGCTCGGCTGGGCCCTGGCGGCCCGCGGGCAGAACCTCCGCGAGCAGGACCCCCGCGGTGAGCGCCGGGGGGGGCGGCTGGAGGGATGGCTGCGGGGCTGCGGGGGTGCCCTGCGCGTCTCTCACCGCGCTCTCCGGTTGGGCCCGTGCGGCCTCGGCCTGCGCGGGTCGTGCCTTGGGGACACCGGCCCCGGAACCGGCCTCGGTCGGGGCAGCGAGCGCTGAGGGCTGCGCTGGGGACGGGCGTTGCCCGGGCGGGGATCGGGAGGCCCGGCCGGGTGTGCTCCGCTCGTGGTGCTGCGGGAGCGGTTTGGGTGGTTGGAGCAGTTCGGGTGGTGACTTCACTCATCGGACTTGGTACTTTGTTCTAAGTACTCTAGTTCTGTGCCTGGGTTTAGCCTCCCTCTGCCCGCGAAATTAAGCTTATGTTACTTTACAAGTTGGCTCCAAGTTCAGTCCGTTTCCGTCCTTCCCTTTCAGACCAGCTGTAACCCAAGGCTGGTAAGAAATGCACATTTCACGTGCAGCGGGTTTCTCTTTGTTTTAGGTGGAGTATTGGCTGGGCAGTGAGGAGAAAGGAATTACTGAAGGAAATGAAGGGAGCTGTTTGAGCCCTCAGTTCCCTCCGTGCCTGTCAGTGGGAATATCCACCCCAGCTATTTGTGCTGCCCCTCACCCGGTCTGACGGGTTGGCAGGAAGCATTTGGGACAGAAACCTGTAGGAAAACGAGAATTTTCAACTTCAGAAATCATGAAATAACTTGCTTTCTAAAAGCAGTTCTCCTGGAAGGGCATTTTAACCATCACATGTTTTTTATGTGTGGTGTTTACTAAGAGGGCTGTGTTGCTAATTCTGTCACCAGGACTGGACATAAATATCTGTTTCTGAAGCTGAGGCATCTCTGGAGTCCAGGCACTGCTGTAACACCACCTGACTGTGTTGTGTAACTGTAAACAGTGCAGCCACCGTTTATAATGCCAAATAGTTTTGGGTAGATATCATAAATCAGCTGTGGTTGAGTTGCTAAACTTCCTGCTGCAATTAAAATAAAACCCCTCGTGTTTTAGGAACAATAGGAAAGTATTTCCCAGTCTGAAGCCGCAGCATTAGCTGGTGGGAGTCCCTTGCATTTAAGCATATATCCTTCTAAAACTTGAATGTCAATATGAGTTTAAGAACAATTTGAAGTGTAAGCAGCATAATTTTATAGGGAAAATATGCTTGTTTGTATTTCAAACAGTTTAGCTATTATTATTTAGCTCTCTAACACTTTTTGTTTGTCTGAGGGGAGCAGTAAGGTTGACCTGCCTCCCTCCCAACATAACTAGCTATAAGTAAAAATTAATATAACTCTTGCAGCTGCATTTCCTCATATTTATCTCCATGTATGCAATTAGCTGACTTGACTCCTGAGGGGAAATCAGAATTCCCTAAACTTGTCCTGTACAAGATCTGAACAAGTTCAGGTTAATATAATTCAGACCAGTAGTTTTCTCAACAAGTGTGTCGACTGTAAAACAGTTGCCCTTGAACCTCAGCAGAGGCACCGTGATGTCCAGTTCACGTGAGATGAGTGGAGTCTGCTGTGTTTGAGTTGGTTAAAGAGTAATTTCCACTGCAAAGGTGTGCCCTGTAAACAAGAGCTCTGTTGTAACTGATCCTCAGTAAATATACATTTCATGAATAACATGATTCAGTGTCCCCTCTGTAATATTTTACTTGGGAGTAACCTGGCACAGGCAGTTGGTTGAATGCTTCATTTTTAGAGTCCCTAACTTCCCAGTGGGCCTTGGGAGTGCTTAATGAAAGTATTGTTACTTTTTTAAAACGAAGAAATAGTTTGGCATGCCAAGATACAGGGCAGGTGTGGTTCCCCTGTTCCAGTGCTGATGTGTGCTGAAAGTCTAAAATGTGGTCTGCAGTTTTCCAGGTGCCTCTGGAAGTGACGTGCTGTACACATGAATAGTTTGCTACTTTTTAGGTTTAAAAAAAACACTGACTGTATAAACTCTCTCTGCATCTGTTTTTACCTTCCTTTGGATAGAGAAGAGGGAGGACGGGCTGTGCATGTGGTTTTAATGCTCACCTTGTTTCTTAGGGAGTTCTGCAAAGCTGTCCCAGCATTGGAGAGATGCTGAATTTGCCTGAGGGTGACTGTTACTCTTGCTGACTTACTTTATTGGAATAATTTGCTGCCAGCAGTAGCCTTTCCTCCAGGAGCATGGGCAGTCAGATTGTCCTTTCTTTGGCTTTGTTTTTAACCTGTGGTTCAGTGGTTCCATTTCAGTTAACAAAAGGTTGGAAATCTTTTTCAGTAGCTGTAAATTCAGTAAAAATTAGTGCCTGGGAAGAGGTGTTGTGACCTTGTGTCCTGACTGAAGGGGACTTCACAGCATGTTCTCATTTTTGTTGGTAAAATATGCGCTGGTGAGAGATTAAAAACTTTTAACTGCAGGAAAAGCTTTGCTGAGAAAATCTTCCTCTGTAGAGCTCAGCTTCTTCTGTGGGAGAAGGAATTTGATGATGGAGAAAATACTAATTGTGTGTGAATCTGCAAGACATCATAAATCCACAGAGGGAGGGATGACATGTCTTTGAAGTTCTTATGCCTGCAAAACACGCATGCTGAATTTTTTAGGGACACTTTGGCATACTAATCTAGAAAGGATGTGCTTCCAAGCTTTAACTCCTCTCCTGCTCAAGACTTAGGAAGTTGCCAAAGTACAGGAAATGTATTTCTGCATGTGACTTAAAAAGTTTGCAATGTGACATATGATTTCTTGTCTGTAAAGGAAATGTGTGGCAATGGTGGGTACCACAGAAGTTACTGCCTGGTGCTTAATATTGACTGTTTCTCATCCTTTTCTCAGATCCCGTGAACGCGGAGACGCTTCTGAAAAATATTTCTTCTAAAAGTGAGAATGAAACACTGAGCAGATCCCAAAATTTGACAGACAGCTTGCAGAGCCTAACCTCAACAAAAAAGGCAATCCCAACAACAGCCAAAATCAGTTCAGTGACTGCAGGAAAGGCACCTACAGCAAAAGGTGACTCTTCCTCATCTGTTCTCCCTGCTAGTCCGGTATCTCCAATTGATGCTTCTGAAGATACTAAAATTGAGGACGAGGATCTTCTAACAGATTTGAAAGATACACTAAATAGTTCCCCACCCATCATAAAAGAAACTCTGGAGTCAGATGGGGATGATTATGGTCCTTACGAGATGACACCGATTTCCAGGTACAACCCAGACCTAGAGATGCCGGATGACGACGACTCCGACACCATCAGCAATTACAACGAGGAGATCAAGACCCTGGATGAGAAGATAAAAGGGGTTTCTGTCTCAGGGTTGGAAGAAGAAGAGGACAGCCATTTCTTTTTTCATCTGGTTGTAGTTGCCTTCTTAGTAGCTGTTGTTTATGTCACCTATCACAACAAGAGGAAGGTAGGTGTGCTCTGAAATGTTGAGAGGAACAGCTGGAGTATTTAAAATGAGGTTGCATTGCCTGGTACACCTTTTTAATAAGAGGAACTTTTCTTTTTGGAGAATGGAATCTTTGTCCACTTAAGTCTTGTGGTGATACTAATATGCATATTATTATTCTCACTTTATATGCACAATGAAAATGAACTCAAACATTTTCAATTAGAAAATGAGTTAATTGATAACATCAGTAATCAATCAATTCAGTAATGGACACTGGCAGTGCACAATATGAGTTCTGTAAAGGAGACCTGAGCCAAGTCAGGTGAAGGTGAACAATTAACTGATTTTGTTTCTGCACAGGATTGTAAACAGCAAATTAAGGAAGGTTTAATCCTTAATGGTGTGGGAATGTTCATGTTATGACTGTGATAATCCTTCTAATAATTGTTCACTTTAAGGTGGTCTTTATATCATAAATACTATGAGGGCTTAACTACAAACTTCTAGGAAATGTTTAACACTGCTTCCAGTTTTACATAGAGAAGATCAGAGATACTGTTTTCAGGTAACTGTTTCTTCAGTGCAAACTAATTCTCTGTATCTAAAAAGTAGCCTGATTGGTGTTATTTCAAAATACATTGCTAGCATAAAAAATGATCTCCAGCCCAACCAGACCCAGTGCTGGTACATGCACAAATTTGCAATTAAACCACAGGTTAGTTTTTAGATATGAGGAAAATTAAGTGTTTATCCTTGTGGAGAACACTGGTTTGGGTGAGGATGTGGGGGACTCTGAACGGAGCTAAAACCCTAAAACCTTCTGCTTTCCTGTGCAATGGCATATCTGGAATGTGCATTGCCAAGACTTTATAGGGAAAAATGTTCAAGACTGTGTTGCATTTGAAAATGTAACTTTGAGAGAAGTTCAAATAAGTGATTAAAAATGCCTCGTCTTTGCTACGTAAGTGAAATAATGCTTATAGTATAATTTGGGTAATTATTACTTTTTAACACTTAGAGATAGTTTTGGGAACAAAAAATTCACTAGTACTTGAAGTATGTAGATAATGGCATGTATTTGTGTGAAACAACAGTCAAGTTGGTTCTTCTTTCTCTGTGCCCACTTCCACTGTCCTGTTTCCTCCTTTGCCAGTGTAGTTGCTCTGTGTAAAGTGAATTCTTGGATGAGTTGGTAAGAAACAAGGCTAAATAGGGTGAAGATAATAGACATTTAAACATCTGATTACTCTCTGTCTTCTTTAACTGCTCAGTTGTGATGCAGAAACAGTTTATCACATCACACCAGTGCTGCTTCTGCTGCCTCTGTTGCACCAGCAATACAATTATTTTTAACAAGGGTGAAATGCCAGGATAGATAAGATGGATAAAGTAACAAATGTCACCACCTGGGGATAGTTGGATAGTCTGAAGATGCAGTGCTTCTGGAGCTACACATGTAGCTTTACTAAAAGATTTCCAGGTGGAATGCAAACTGCAGCCGAGGGTGGCAAGGTCTGACTGCCAGTGCTGTGGTTTATACCAACAGCAGTGCCATTGCCAGCACCAGGGGGGGAACTGGGATATCAGTAGGACTGTGGAGCTGTCTATCAGACCCAGAAACACAGAATCAATGAGGTTGGAAAAGACCTCTGAGACCATCGAGTCCAACCTTTGACCCAACACCACCTGGCCTACTGGACCATGGCACTGATGCCACATCAGTCTCTTCTTAAAAACACCTCCAGGGATGGTGACTCCACCACCTCCCTGGGCAGCCCATTCCAATGCCCAGTCACTCTCTCTGTAAAGAGTTTCTTCCCAATGTCCAACCTAAACCTCCTCAGGCACAGTTTGGGACTGTGCCCTCTTGTCCTACTGCTGGTTCCTGGGAGAAGAGCCTGACCCCCACCTGGCTACAACCTCCTGTCAGAGAGTGAGAAGGTCTCCCTTGAGCCTCCTTTTCTCCAGGCCGAGCACCCCAGCTCCCTCAGCTGCTCCTCCTAGAAGCAGCTCCAGACCCTTCCCCAGCCTTGTTGCTCTTCTCTGGACCTGCTCCAGCCCCTCCATGTCCTTCCTGAACTGAGGGGAAATCTTTTACTAAAGCTACACGTGTAGCTCCAGAGCTGGACACAGCACTCCAGGGGTGGCCTCACCAGCACCGAGTACAGGGGAAGAATCACTGCCCTGCTCCTGCTGCCACACTGTTCCTGATCCAGGCCAGGATCCACTGGCCTTCTTGCCCACCTGGGCACTTTCTGGCTCCTGTTTGGCTGCTGTCACTCAGTCCTGCCAGCTCCCTTCCTGCCTGGCTGCTCTCCAGCCCCTCTGTGCCCAGCCTGGAGCTGCAGGGGGTTCTGGCCAAAGTGCAGGACCCGGCCCTTGGCCTTGTTCAACCTGATGCCACTGATCCCCTCACTGTTCTGAGAGCAGATGTAACTGTGTGATTTGTGTTTCAGCTCTTCCTGCTGGTGCAGAGCCGGCGCTGGAGGGACGGGCTGTGCTCTCGGACGGTGGAGTATCATCGCCTGGACCAGAACGTGAACGAGGCGATGCCTTCCCTCAAAATAACCAACGACTACGTGTTCTGAGAGCACTGTGCTTTGGGTTTGCTGAACTTATCACTCTTTGCCTGCCCAGTCATGTAATGATATTCAGGTATCCCAAATAAGCTGCTTGTACAGAAATGAGATGTACTCTCTGTGACCTGGATGCTTTGGAGATTAAATCTCATGGAAGATCAAGGGCATGACACATCTGTTTGCTACTTTGGTCGGGTTTTATATCAACTATGAAGATGCAGAGTTTAATAAATTAGTGCTCTTTCCATTCATTAAGCAACATCCCTTCTGTCTGGAGCAGTCTTAATAGTCGTATTACAAAAAAATAAGCATAAAATATTTTAGGTCTAATAAATTAATGACTTTGGCATCACTAAATCAAATTAATGATCTCTTTGCTCTTCACTTATATGGCTCATAAATCCCACTGTATTGAAAACTTAAAACATAATTACTTTTTTCTATGCTTAAATCCTGATGCTGCAAATCTTTTATCTTGTTTTTTTTTTTTCTGTTTCTGTTTCCTCGTTTCATAATTTGATCCTATTTTAGGCAAAATAGCTAGAATGGCAATTTAATAATTTCCGTATGTGTTCATGCAGTAAATAATTTAAAAATAATTATGTATAACCTATTTTATTCAGAAGTTTCATACCATATATTTCCTTAAAATGCTCAAGGTGTTTGTGAAGGTATGAAGCTTCCTGACTGTCCATTTTTTTCTCTAATGGTATTTATGACTGTTTCATTGTCTTTGTAATTAATGAGTGGAAAATAAGCCTTCTTGAATAATCTTACTAAAATATAGATAGTTGACAGGCTTTCTATACATCAAAGCTATCTGTTGAATTTTAAGACAGTTGGGAAATGGTTATGTGCTTATATTATAATTGGGAGAGGCCTGAAACTGTAAGAATAATTTATTTGGTTGTTCTTCTGACCCAGGTAACAGAGAGGTGAGAGTAAAGGTGTGGGGGCTGCCAGTGCACTCTCATTTTTGACAAACATTTATGCATTAGTGTAAATCAAGTTACTGGTACAGTAGTGTTTTTGATTTTTTTTTTTTTACTTTGTCTTTTGTACTTCCATTATTTATGGTTTTATGGGTTGTAAAATATAAAATTTTAGTTTTCTGTACATTCTGTTTGTGATTTAGTTTTCAACCTGAGAAATATGTAAATAACGGTGAATCAAAACCCCATAATTAATGACTTGGTATTCAAGTAGTTATGTAACATTTGGGAAAAAAATCACCTTCACAGCTGATGGCATGAGGAGTCTGAAGGCATGATACTGTCTTAGGAATGAAGTGCTAAAAGTTCTAAATCCTACTGTTAAATGCATTCTTTTCATAACTACAGGAAGTAAAGCACAAACAAAATATCCCAAAACTCTTTTCTCGCAGTAATTTTTATCATATATGGACTTGTATCACTTAATATTTTGAATAAGGTTTTTAAAATAAATGACAATAACGAGCTTGTGTTTTTTATCTTAACTATTTCGCTCCTTTTATACAGCACCTTGTGATAAAGAGCTTGCTTGGAATTGGAAACCAGTTCAAAACCATCTTTTCTGTCACCCATACTGGGTGTGTGCAGGTTTGTTTTATGCATCTGTTAAATGGTGTGTAGCAAGGTTTAAATGAAATCTTTGAAGCTACAGGAGTTAATAAGTTTTTTAACGTGCAATTTTTTAACCTAAGTTGTTTATTTAATAATTCTTGTGGAAGATACTTGAAATTCTTACCTGAACATCCCTGCTTTGAAGTAATGCTGCTGTGGTCAAGATCCAAAAGGAAAGGTTACTTTGCAAAAAGCTTCTTTAGGATGTTTAAATATTGGAATTTGAGGAGTTGGCTAATGTTTTTTGCACCCAAGAAGTTCAGGAGCTTTCTCTTTGAATAACATTCATAAAGTGTAGTGATTTTGACAGCAGAAATAGTACATTCACACTTGGCAGAAGCTTGTGCTCCTTTCTCATGGTACCACAGGCCTTGCTCAGAACCTGGAAGGAGGTGCTGAAGGACCTGGCTGTGCAGAAGTGCAGTGATGAACAGTTTAATTTAAAGTGGCATTTTCTCTCCAACCCATCCATTGAATCAGGCCATCGAGACACATGTTTGGTCACACCAAAGTTTGTGGCTGCATCACAGCAAGTGAATTTAGATGATGTTTGTGGAATATCACTATTCCCAAAACCCGTGCCCTGCTGATGAGCCCCAGCGTTCAGCTGACAGTGCCAGTGTGACAGAGAGCCTGCAAGGCAGTGGTTACTTGTGTCCTAAAAGAGCCATTTCCCCCCAGTCCCTGCTGTGTGGCAAGAGAGAAGTGTCCCTTCAAGATGATCTCAGAATTAAAGCTGTACAACAGTGAGCTCTGAGCTCCACCCTGGCTCAGGGCTGGGCCGAGCTGCTTCTCCAGTGACTTGTGTGTCACTGCCACGGAACAGGGACCTCACCCAGTGCAGGTGAAAGATCTGACATGCACACAATGACTTGGACTTTTTTATTTCCTAAGGATATTTTTCCATTCTCAATAGCCCTTGGACTGTTACCTGAGCAGGGGGAGTGTTGCTGAATTGGCCTGGGCAGTCAGGAGCTGTTCCCTAATAGCACCAATAAAGAGGGAAAGGTTTTTCCTGATCCGGTTTTACAAGGGCTCCAGCAGCTCCAGGAGAGTGCAGCATATGTCATCCACTGTGCAATAAAAGAGCCATTTGCTGATGAGGTAATCAGGGTTGAACTGCTGGGCTTTAATTTCTTTAATTGAATTTGCTTGTGGAAAATTAAGAGCAGGCAATCAAAAATTCATAAAGTGCTGAGATCAAACAGAGGAAAAAGCAAGCAGATTTATGTCAGATCTTACCAACAAGAAATGTCTTGATGGATTTCTTTAGTGAAGAAAGGAAACTTTCTCACATTAAGGTGAATTATGACTTCCATCAATATTCTGATAAAAGGAATAAAATATTCCTGAAGAGTTTTCTGATTAAACTTCTCAAGATGAAAGTTGAAACTCTATTTATGTAGGTTCTCGTTAGTGGTTGGGTTTTATGAAATGAGGAAAGAAATAATGAATAGGATAGTTTAAACAAATGATACATTTCACTTTTACTATCCAGGAAATCAGGTATTTTAAAATATTTATGGTTTAATTTTCATTTAGCACCAGTGCATATTATTCAGCTCTAAGTCAACTGTCCTTGGCTGCTGCTCAGTTGTGTACAGGGTGAACAGAGAAGGGTTTATCTGAGCAGGGAGCTTTGAGTTACGGGAAATTAATTTGCAAGGTGGAGATGAAAAATGGGATACCTTAAATAAATTTCAGTGCTACAAAAATAATAGGAAGGGAAAAGAGAGAGTTCTGTGGCTCTAACCCAGACTGCAATGAACAAAAACATTGGTCAGGGATTTTCAGAGTCATGGCCAGTTTAGGAAACCTGTGATGAGCAACAGTGGGGGACATTTCATTGGTTTTTATTGGTGGAAAGCTGGCACAGTGAGTAGAGAGAAACCTGGCTGGCAGCTGGTACTTGTTTGGGTCTCAATTATCTGCCTGAATTTGAGGCAGTGATGCCTCCTGGGGCTGGGGGGGACTTGTGATAGGGCAGCTGTTCTTGCTTTGCAAGGGGAGGAGCAGGTTCCCCCAGCAGAGCTTCCCCCTGAGCTGCCCTGGGGAGGGGGAGGCTGCAGGTTGTGGTGGCACCAGGGGCTGGGTGACTGAGAGCCCCACACCCCAGAGGAGGTAAGTGGGTTCCTAACCCAGTAAAACAATTCCTCTTTCTTTTTTAATCTTATTCCTGTCATTTTAGGTGCTGAGCTGCTTCACTGGGCAGCCAGAGCAGTGCCAGGGCTGGCTCAAGGTGAGAGGTGGGAGTGTTGGGGGCAGAGATGGGGCTGCTCCCTGTGCAGGAGCAGCAAACTCTTAATTTGGTTTCTCATAACGCTGTGGAAGGTGGCCCTGCCCATGGCAGGGAGATTGGCACGAGATCATCCTTAAGGCCCCTTCCAACCCAAACCAAACCATACTGGGATTCTGTGATTCTAAAGCTGGTTCTAAGTTGTCTCATAAAGCAAAGCCCAAAACAAGATGGTTTTCACACTCTAGAGCTCAGGTGAGCAGTGGTTGCTGTAGTCTCAGCATAATGACTTTTGTTGCTGAGAGGTCAAACCAGACTGAGGATTTGGGGTCTCTTTTGCTTTGGGTTGCTTTGTGGTAATTTTCTTGCAGGGGAATCCCTGGGTGGACTCATGGGGAGGCTGAGGGTGGTGCTGGTGTGTGCATGGTCCCCACCACCACAGCACCTGCTTGGCTGTGCAGCTTCCCTCTCCTTTCCCAAATCCAAACCCAAAGCTGCGTTTTGTGCTCCTACAAGGCTGAGTAGCTTTATGGGTGTGCTAAATCCTCCTGTAAGGCTGATAGAGCACTAATCTTCGAGGCCATATATCCCAGCCACCACAAAGCAGCAGAACTAACACCATCATTCTTACACCCTTTACCATTGTCCTTTAAAGAGGAGTCCCTGTACTGGTTTTTGTTAAACTTTTCTCATCCAGAGCAGATGAGTACCCTCAGTGTAATAAAAAATGGTTAATATGAGAACTTCTCAGCTTCACTGTTTCCAATAGATCTAATTAAAAGGGGAAGAATGACACCTCTTCTCTAATTGGTCCTTAAATCATTATCAAAATCATTTAGCAGCCTCCTAAAAGTTATTTTTAATTACAAGGTCTGTTGCTTTGTTATTAGCACTGAAAATTACTAATCTTGGCAATTTCCTATCTTTATTAAGAATAAAATACAAAGGTCATGTTATCCTTACTGAGGTGCATCCATAGAGGTTTTATTCAAGATTAAGTGAAGCTGGATTTAATCCCTTTCTACTGTTCTGTACACAATGCTGAAATGTTGCTATTTAAGGAGGCTGGTGGGGTTAAGAACTGATGTTGAGGTTCACAGGTGTACTCAGGCCACTGAAATAATTTAAATTCAGATTACATGAACTGGGAGACCCTCGTGTTTGTTGATCACAGCTGACCCTCATTATCAGCTGTTTTTGCAAGGCAATGGATTATGTTGTGTATTTTTGTTGGCCCCCTCCTGCCTTTCATTTTGCAGTGGGGTTTGTGATGAGTGATGGAAGTTCATTTTGTCCCTGAGGAACATGTTCATGCTCTCCACGTAACTCTTCCTGCTCTGCAAGCGGGGGACAGCGAATAAAACATTCAGAAGTACCCACATGGCCCAGGTTTTGCACTACAACAAGC